GATGTCTCTGGTTGGCAAAGACCCAGCTGTACAATATCAGGAAACGGTTGCCGTCCAAGAAGGTGCCCATTTAAAGACAGAAATTCCTGGAAGTTCTCACGTACTGTGCTATCCTATGTACAGAGCAGATAATATTTGGTAACATAGAAAATGGATTAATTTCCTAAGCACCCTTTGCTCTTTTAATTTTCTATACAGCTGCTACTACTACTACTACTGTTTTTATGTTTCAGTTTTTTAAGCTTTCTATATATCTCCCATATATACATACATCCAATAAAATGCAATTAAACATGGAAAAATATATTTGGAACAGACTGATCATTTACATTTTGATGTAAATTTACCTTTTGATCCAAGATTGAACTATATTCTACATATTCGTGAATCAGATGAGCAGGCCCTACCAATTCTGTTTTAGCTTTAATCCAATCTAGAGAAAACATAAGATCATGGAGTTCCTAGAAGAAATACAAATTGAAGTTCAGAGTGTGAGTTTCACAACATAATCTACTTAAGGGGAAAAATAAAAGTACAGGAAATACATTAGGTATTCAATATACTTCAGTACAATTGTCTCCAGTTAAAAATTTAGGCAATGTCCTGTTTCCTGCATCTTACTCAATCAGGTATGAAAATTCTGAGTATAGAAAGTTAAGCTTGATATTTTAATGCAAAGGACTGCTCTTTGATACAGAGAAGTGATGGGAGTATAAAGCAAATCTTGACTTTTGTAGCACACAAGCCCTGGTTTAAGATACAACTCTGAAACAGCTTCTTCTAGTCCAGTTTAGCAAAGATCACTCTGCTAATAGTGATCTGTTTCTCTTCCTAACAGATGCTGAATTTGAATGAAAACAAAAAACATTACAGGTCCATTTAACTTTAAAATGAGAAAGCTACTTAAAAGGCCATCAGAAACCAGCAAATAGAATTATTAGAATAGAATATTTCAGTTGGAAGGTACGTACAATGATCATCTTGTCCAACTGCCTGACCAATTTTAGGACTGAACAAAAGGTAAAGCATGTTATTAAGGGCATTGTTCAAACACCTCTTAAACACTGACAGGCTTGGGGCATCGACCACCTCTACAGGAAGCCTGTTCCAGTGTTTCACCACCCTCTCGGTAAAGAAATGCTTCCTAATGGTCTGGCCTAAGCCTCCTCTGGCACAGCTTTGCATTGTTCCCATGTGTCCTATCACTAGATCCCAGGGAGAAGAGATCAGCACCTCACTCTCCACTTCCCCTCCTCCTTTGGAAGCTGTAGAGAGCAATGAAGTTGCCCCTCAGCCTCCTTTTCTCCAAACAAGACAAGCTCAAAGTCCTTAGCTACTCCTCCTAAGCCATTCCTTCCAGCCTTTTCACCACCTTTGTTGCCCTCCTCTGGACACATTCAAGGACCTCCACATCATTCTGTAATTGTGGGCCCCAGTACTGCACAGTACTGCCCCAGTACTCAACGTGAGGCCGCACCAACACTGAATACAGCGGGATAATCACCTCTTTTGACAGGCCGGTTATGCTGTGTTTGCTGTACCCCTGGATGCTGTTTGGCCTCTGGGTTGCAAGGGCACACTCCTGACTCAGATCAAGCCTGCTGTCGACCAGCACCCACAGATTCCTTTCTGCAGGGCTGCTCTTCATCCCTCCTCTCCCAGTTATACTTGTCCCTGGTGTTACTCCATCCTAGGTGCACAGTCCAGCATTTGGACTCATTAAATTTCATTCCATTAATCATTGCCCAATGCTCAAATATACCTAGAACCCTTTGCAAGGCCTCTTCTTCCTCAAAAGACTCAACAGCACCTCCCAGTTTGGTATCATCAGCAAACTTGCTAATGGTGCATTGAACTCCTGCATCCAGCTTGTTGATAAATATATTGAACAGAACTTGTCCTAGAATTGAACCCTGAGGAATATCGCCCGTGACCAGTCACCAGCCAGATGTAGTCTCATTCGCTACAACCCTTTGAGCCGTTCGTGACCAGTCACCAGCCAGATGGTGGTGACTCTCATTCGCTACAACCCTTTGAGCCGTGCTGCTCAGCCAGTTCTTCACCCAGTGCACTATCTACCTGCTCATCTCACAACTGGACAACTTGTCCAGAAGGATGCTGTGAGGGACAGTATCAAAAGCCTTACTAAAACCCAGAAAAACTACATTCACCACCTTCCCTTCATCCACTAGGTAAGTGACCTTATTGTAGAAGGATATCAAATTAGTTAAACAGGACTTTCCCTTTGTGAACCCATGTTGACTGTGTCTGATGATTGCGTTATTCTTTAAATGCCTTTCAACAGTACCCAGTATAATCTTCTCCATATTTTTTCTGGGAACTGAGGTTAGACTAACAGGTCTGTAGTTCCCTGGGTCTTCCCTCATGCCCTTTTTGTAGCTTGCTTCCAGTCAGCAGGGACCTTCCCAGACTCTCAAGACCTTTGGTAGATGATTGAGATAGCTCCTTCAGTACTCTGGGATGAATCCCATCAGGCCCCATGGACTTGTGAACACTCAACTGATACAGCTGTCTTACAATTTCAGTGTCCACAAATGGAAAGTCACTGTTCCCACACTCGTGGTCCTCTGACTCAGGGGACCGGGCAGCCCAAGGTTTGTCACTTTTATTAAAGACTGAGGAAAAAAAACACTGAATGCCTCTGCTTTTTCTTCATGCCTATTAGTCAGATGACCATCTTCAACAAGTATCTGTCCAATGGTTTTTTTTAGACCTCCTCTTGCTGTACATGTACTAAAAAAGCCTTTCCTTTTAAAAAAGCATACTTGTTGGGATCAGAAAAACTGCTTAGAGGCAACACTGCACAGGCCCAAAGTATATTCCAATTTAAAAATCAGTTATCACTGCAAGGATTAAAATATTATCATGATTAAACAGAGAAGAATAGCTCCCATCTTTATTAGCCTTCAAACAAACAGAAATCACATCTAAATAATGAGAAATAAGTAATATAAAGAGCGTAAACTCTGGGAAGCATACAGTCATAATGAGACAGGCTAAAGAACTCTTAGAAGCTAATTCTACAAAATGTAGAAAGGCTAATAATAAAAACATTTTTCTAATACATTGAAATTAAAGGGACTGAGATACTGAAATCATCATGAGCCCAAAAAACTAGATTTGTAGCACACATTAATTATGAAGGTTCCTCTAAGATATAAGTACACAAAGTGTATTTTATATGATGAGTCGGATGAATCATCTCAAAAGAGGTTCAACTGAAAAGGTTTGAGTACATGTGAAATAAAGCAATTGGCAACCAGGACTAAACGCTATTCAAGTCAAGAATTCTAAAGACATTCGACTGAAACTACTGAAGTATTAATCTTGCTGCATGATTTGCATCTTATACTAGCTCAGTACCTAAAACATTACGGGGCAAAAACAACAGCAGTTGTTTCAAGGCGCTAAGGCAATCCTAGGAACAAGAGATTTGCCCATCTAACTTGCTACATTTTTTATGGCTGTTGAAATCTGTTAATACAGAGAATGGACTTTTACACACAAATCAGTATGACATAAGAGGAAAAAACTAACAAGACTTCTGTAGAAAAAAGTAACTAATCTAATTGAATTATCTGAGGAAATCAACTTACTTGTATTATTATACAATTAAGCAGTCCTGTTGTTTCTAAAAGGTTTAGAAAAATATTTCTTATCAAGCTTCTTCAAATGGAAAAGCAAAGCGCAAGCTCTTATGATACAAAATAAGAAATATTCTCAAGAATAGGTTGAAAAGACAAGACACAAAGGCTAGAAATTAAGCAGTTTTCATGACAGTGATTAGCAGCGGAGTCCCTAAAGGACCATGTTGAGCATTTACCTATCTGCACGAAAGCCTGGGAGAAGAGAGGCTCAAGTGGGAAAAAGCCTGGGGGAAAAGGCAGCAGTAAGGGTGGGTTGACAAGGGAAACAGAAAAAACTCGAGTCAGAACTCACCTTCTGCATGTTGGCACCAGCCATGTGATACGCTAGAAAGTTGTACCAGTACATACAATCCTCTTGAGATGGAACAGGCGTATTAAGTTTGTAATATTTCTTGTACTGATTTACTATGTTTTTATGTAGCTCCTGCAATATGAATCAAAACACACTTTCAGTTAATACTATGCCAAGATATGGATTGGTTTCAGTATTGAGGAATTATAATTATTATTAATATTACATTGTATATAGTATTGAGGAATAATATTATTACTATTTCTCAATGGTAATACATCAACAAATGAAATAAGAAAAGCTTACCTTCCAAAACTGTACACTTAACCTAATTTATTGCTTAAGACTTCTCCAGAAACATTCTCTGGATATTAAAAGACAGAAAAGCAACCTGTTAGCCTTCCTTCTTAGGTTGAGAACAGCTACCAAATTACTCTTCACATTAAGCTCGGGCAGCCAACAAAAAAAGACCATTACTTATGTAGATCTAAAGCAAGTCTAAAAATTCATCTTTTATTCGTATCTACTCTTTCTGCCCTCTGTCCTTCAGAACTGATAAATTTATTTATTGAGCCCTCTCCCTACAAATATTGCCTTAAATTGAAAAAAAGGAGTAAAAAGCACTTCTCTGTATTAAAGAAGAAACTTTCTGTTCTGGTAGGGTCTTGATGCCTTTGGAATCATCAAAAGAACATTCCAGCTCCTTCTGGAAACATCTTTGACAGAAAAATAATGGATATAGAGTCTTCTCTCCGTTTAGTTTCTTAGCTCCAAATGGAACCATCAAGAAACCCCTCCACAGTTTCAAGCTGAGAATAAATGTTTTCAATTAGTCGGCATTAAGTTTAACTGCATTGTGGACCTATTCTGTGAAGCTACTCTGGAAACCATTTACCAAAGGAACATTTTCTGAAGAATGCTCAGCTTTGGAGAGTAAAGTTAAAGGTAAGTAGATTAGCCAATACCCTACCTGAAGCTGGTTGCGATTTTTCTCTGTAAGAAAGTCAAGTTGAAGATCATGTAAATAATAATGGAATGACTTCCCATTACGATCACAGAACAATAGCGATTTGTTAACAAATTCCTGTAGTATATCTTCAACTTCTTCCGTTTCCATATCCCAAAGAATACAGAGAACCTAAAAAAGCACATTAAGACAGAAAAGAGTCAGAACTAAGAGGTTATATGAATACCATAAAAGGCTATCAATTAACTGACAACAAAACACATGCTAACAAATATAGACATATTACAAATGGTAATAAATTCAGTAAGTTACCAAGTGTTCTGTATCATCTTTTGTCTATTTATGCTGATTTATGGCAATCATATCTTTCCCTTAAAGGAGACAAATTTCACATAACAGTTTTTAAGCCTTCAGAGAGCTCAATTACAACCTAATTAAAGAGTTATATACCGAATGCACATTAAAATAACATTATGAAATCATTTATTCAGTTAAAATTTTTTAGTTTCATTACTGACAATAGAAGTCGTGATACAACAATGGACCTGACCTACCCAATCTAGCAATTACTATTAAGTTACCTGAAGCACAAATTATACACAACAATTATAAATTTTATGAATTCTTCAAAGTTATTTTTAGTATCTCACTAAAAATGATGAGATTTCTGCATGGCTGTTATTACCTTAGTAGGTACTTTAACATCTTTCGGGAGGATAGAGAGGTCTTTATAGTAGTCTTTATAATTGTCATTCAGTTGCTCAACACTTATGGACATTGCTTCATCAAGGGCTTCATAATCATAAGAAGAAGATTTTCTTATTCTTTTAAACTGCTTATGCTGCAGCTGTTTGAGATAGTACTCCCAACGACTAGGGAAGTCTCGTAATAATGCACCTATCAAGGATATCACAAGAGGAGAACCTGAAGGAAAAGATTAAATAATCTTAGAGGTTTTCAAGGAACACAGTCCAATAGTTTAGTCAAGTGGTTGAATAAATCAGGTAAGTTTCCCAATACATTGATTAAATCCTTGAGGTGTGGGGACAAGACAAAAAGACAAAGACAGACATGCAAAACACGTCATCCATGTAAACACCTGCAAACTCACCAAATTTAAGTGTAATAGGGGGCGAAGGGAAGATATGCTAAAGAAAACTACTCAAAAATCAACATGAGACACTTCTATTGAGTTTAAAAAAAAAAAAAGCTTTGAACAAACACTTGTGTTTTACTTAAGGCACAAAGTATTAAAGAATGTTCTCCTCCTCTATCTGTAAGTCAAAACCTAGAAGAAAAAAAAAAATAAATTCAGTGGTAAATGGTATGTTAAAGAGCGGCAAGTATACCTTTGCATTCCCTTACAAGACAATTAGCTTGTTCCGGTAGTTCTGATATTTTCATATTCACAAATAGGGATAAAATCTCCAGTCCTTTCTCATGTGCTAGTCCACTTTCCACATGAACCTCATATTTATTGCCTAGACACAGGAACATGGAAAACATTTAAAAGAATGTTAAAAATCCTGTGGAAATTGAGAGTATTTTCCAAGCAAAACCTGGAGCAAAGGACCTGGCTCAGGATTTTATGCATAGTATTTTAAATGCTTAATACTAAGAAGAGTATAAATTCTACTTATCAGAATCAAGTTTGCATTAGAGAGACAAAAAATTAGACTATAATCTAACAATTACAAGTGCATTACAAGCGTATCGTAGTGGTGACTGCTAAATAGCATAGATATAATCAGTCTAACAGCAGCAGTGTCACACAGGTTAATTTATCTTCTTGAGAATCATTGCACTCTTCAAAGTAGACATGTAACTTTCAGGATAACATATAACATTTATTTCATGAAGAGCATAAAGTCTTACAGAGCAGAATTCTAAAACTTTGCCACTTGTGCAGAAGTTGAGAGCCAGAGAATATATCAGATTCCTTTAAAATTTCACAAGAACAAATTGCATACATATACACACACAATCTGTAGTGCAGGAGATGAAACTGTTCCTTACCAGCCACAGCATCTGTTACGCTCCTGTCCCTGCTGGTGATAAGAACCTGACATTGATTATCAAATGCTTTTAATACCCAGGAATCCCAAATGTCGTCCAGGATCAAAAGAGATCTAGTGCAAGAAGAAATATTGCAGATTTCAGATCAACTGTTAGTGCTGAAATATGCTATTTAATTTTAATAATGAAAGAACATTTTCAGAATTTACAATGTATCACTGCATAATTTTATATCAATATGTAAACTGTCTTAAGAGGGCATTAAGCACTGTGCAAGAAAGCTGAATTCAAGTATCTCAAAAAAATAAGTTCTTACCATTTATCGCTTTATAGCTACAACTGAAGTGTAAACAATAAAGTTTTGGGAAATATTTCCATTAGCAGATGCCAGGAAAACCAGAAATATTTACTCTGTTTTTCATGTCATCAGATACCATCAGTGAAAAAAACAGTTGTATAGGACTAGATCAAAACTCTGCTTGACACAGGTTAGTGATAAGCTTTGTGGGAGAAACCATTTCGGTTTCCTTTTGACTTGAGAGTTTTCAGTTTTGTTCTTGTATCTTCAGATACAATTCCTCTTGTGAAGGAATTGTCTTGGATGATGAGGTTCTTTTTACATAAACAACATTTTATAGTGACTACATATTCAAATCCTATGGCTAGTCATGTTTGTAGGTTACTACATGGAATCTCATCAGAATAATGTATAGCAGACTTTGCTATACCCACCTATATCTGACAAAGAATTACTGAAAACCGGTTTTTAAACGTTGGTTCCAAGGGAGCAAGAAGTCAAAAAGATTGGCTGGCAGGTAGATTTATGAAAAGAAATACCAGTTATTTGCATTCTGTGTGTTTTGGTGGAGGAAACAAAGTTATTGAAACCAAATCCTGCAAATTGTTTACACTTACTGTCATCTTTTTTTTTAAGGGATCAAGTTTTCAGCTACACTAGTCATTGGTTAAATTGTCCAGTTCCCACTGAAGCGTACCAAGACTTCCACATTTTTCTTCAGCTAAACGAGACGTATGCCATCAATGCTTATAAATAAGGATTTTATCCTTTTTAACAAGTGCATACACGTGATACCACTTTTTCAAAGTTGCATATGTCTTGGACACCCGTAACTCATTTTTATACAATTGCTCTATTAACACCCTTTTGATAAATCAGAGGCTTTAGAAAAATATTAACATAGCTATAAATGACTAATTTTGCAGTACTTTCACACTTGAAAACACGCTGGGAAGAGTGAATTACAGCCTGATTTTATGTTTTTAATTAATCTGAGAACTTCAAAGTCCTCCCAGTCTTTTGGTACCAGTGACTTTCTTCCCCAACCACAGCAACAAATCTTAAATCCTAATTAGGTTTGTAAAAAAGAAGAAAAAAAAAAAACACACCAAACCACTGTGATAACAATCACAGGAGATTTAACTCTGAAATCTCTTACGTTAAAAAATATCATAGCTTCAATTTCTTCAACCATAATCCAACAAAATACACAATGATATTTTGCTCAGAAAGTTTTCGTTTGACTAATAGTTTAATCCCAAGAAACGTACTGGATTCACAATGTGAATCCAGAAATAGCTGTAGTGACTTTTTGTCACCAAAGAGAATTCCAGTGCAGAGCAAGCACCACAAGCCGCAGAACTAGTGAAGCTTAGTTTCCAATACACGTGCACCCTATGAACTTCACTCCCTGGTACCTTCCCCTCTGCCTCCTCGCACGCCCACTATGATTTCCCAGATAACCCATCATCAGTTTGTTCTTACATTCTCACATATACCTAACTGGGCAGGATGCAGCACAGGCTGTGTAGCCTGTTCCAAACTCCTGTATCCAAGCTGGCCAGTTAGCAAGGCAATAAAATATGTTTCCCTTCAATTCATTCTATACTCCTTTTCACCACTGAAAGTGACTACTTGGATTTCTCTTCTTTATCCAACTGACAATTTTTCATAAACTTACAGAGGTTTTTAAGATACAAAGTTCCTACCTTTAGCGTCAATTTTGGCAATAGGATCAAAGTGTTTAGGATAGAGCAGAAGAAGCGAAAGGATAAACAAGGCTAAGACGAACAGTGTGATCACATTAACATGGTTTCGTAATGGTGAAAAGCAGTCAGACTAGAAAAGTTTTATAATCAATCCTTGCACCTTTTCCTTGAGGTGCAGTCATCCTCTGCAATACTCTAATTTAATATCTGTTACTTTATCTTGAAACAGATTAATGAACATTGCCAGGTCAACAGCATCCTACATGAGAGATCTGGCAGTCTATAAAGAAGATGCTGCCACAGCTGGCATTGAAATGCCCTCAAATAAAACCAAGTGCCTAATTGTTTTTAAAGCTGGCATTTTCTCTCCTTCCCCTTAGTTTCCTCAGCATACCGGAGCTCTTTTGACAAGACACGCTAAGTACCTCTCAAATGAGTCACTTTGTACACTACAAACAATATCAACCATGTTAGGCTGTCATGTTACTTGGCTATACAGCAGCTGCCAACTTCTGGAACAGTTCATGATGCCATAGGGATACATCTTACAAGACAATAGCACACAGTTCTCCCTTCTACTCAGAAGAGACTGTAATGTTGCACAGGAATTAAACACACAAATTCTTCTGTATTACATGTTTGGTTTTGTTAATGAACAAAAAATAACAAGACTTGTGTCATCCATTGACACATCCATTGACAACCACTTGTTGAAAGTGTCTTGTTTGCACTATTCATACAAGAATTCCACAAAAAATGAAAGATGTCTTCTGGATGACCTGGCAGTGTTTTTCAAATATTTCCTTCACAAGGTATTTTTTTCCCTGTACAAAAATGCCGGTATTCTTCTTCTCTATGTCATCTATAAAAATTGTAAGATTGGAGTATTATTACTGAGGTAGCTCACTAAGATGCAGGCTTGTTTAGCTTAGCACAAATTTTCCCAGAGAGTAATGAAATCCTCAACAAGTAACAAAAGCTATTGCTCAAAGATGAAAAAAGCTATGCAGTGACTGAGACACTGCTTGATTAAATCAAGTCAATTTTCCTGGAGTTTGAAAGCAACTGGTTTCTTGGCGATAATTGAGCATATCATGAAAACCTGCTTTCACTTTGATAACTTCAGACCACACACTTCAAAAAGACATCAGCTACTCTGCAAAGGAAAAATTTTTGGCAGTGATACACACCCTTTTACTGCTGTATGATCCTCACACATCAGTGAAGCATTCTGTGTACACAATGAGAACACTAAAAGTTATAGCAATTCTTATTTCCAACCGTTCATTCCCAACCTTCAATGACTAATAATTTTTCAAGCAAATGTGACTCCTGCACAGCTGCTTAACATACTTTTTTAGCAGAAGCCTTATTAGCCTACTAAACATATGCATACCCAGGACAAGCCTACAACATGTCCCTTCAGTTACCCCATTAAAAAACCCACATCTAAACAGGGACAGTTATACTATGTATATTGTACATCTGCCTCTAGCATCTATTTACCCTTCAGCTTTTGAACACTTATCTGAACTTATTCTTTTATCATATGCAAGTCAGTATTTTAGAAAGTTTTAACAGGAACCCCTACACAAGAATTAAAATTCTAGAAGTATTGTTAGCGTCACCTTGAATAACACTTCCTAATTATCCACAGTAAAACAGAAAAAAGGAAATCAAAAAATGAAGAGTTAGGAAGTTGGTTTAAAAAAAAAAAACAAAACACACCACACCACAGAGACATGTAACCACAACACAGACGCCTTAGATGATCAGACCGAAGTTACTCTGCAAAGTTTTATCAGTTACAAACAGTGTTTCATTTTATCGACATCACCTGGGATATTTGCGTAGCATCAGCAAACGAAGACGATCTTTAGCCTCTTCAATGTTAAGTGGTGGCCTTTGTGAAAGAGTAGAGTCATGTTCTAACCTACTACAGAGATTCTGAAGTTTTATTAGGAGCCCTGCTTTGTCCTGTTTTCCAACAGAGATCCAGTGAACTCCTCCTGGAAAGTAATCTAACAAGAAACGCGATGTTAATCATGCTACACATTTGAAATCAGAAATGTTTAACAGCAGCTTACAATAGCAATCAATAACTTACTTTCAATTAAAATATAAAACTCTGAAGTCTATTGCAAGCCAAACTTGCAACTCCACCATTAACAGAGAAGAATGGTTCTGCAAGACCACTACTTTTCTTTTTTAAAGGAACAGGCTCTGTAGGGCAAGTTCCCACAGAGAATTCACACTGCCACTGATGCTGTCGTCCCTCCTCTCTACATGCCTTCCTGCCTGTCCCTTGACAACCCCTTCTGCATCCATCTTCCTGCCAGTCGGACTTAGCATTTACTTTTTTTGCCCCGTACTACTGTAGGAGTTCAGAGTCTGGGATGTGAAAATTATCCCGAAACAGTGAACCTGAAAGCATGCAGAAGAGTTAGCTGCAGCAGAGGATCCTGCAGTCTCTATCCCTACATCATGTTTTCTAATGCCCAAGTCCCGCTTTCTCCTCCAAGTGTCCTAAAAAATAACAATCATTAAATGGTTTAATTTATGATCTGCTTTAAGTTAAAGTGATACTAGTGTAATCACTCCACAAATGCCTGCCATTATTAAAATATATGCAAAAGTTAGAGGAAGACTTTTTAAACTCACATAGCAAAGGGAAAGAGCCTGAGGACTTAACAGGCAATGCCCAAAAGGAATAAAAACTAAGTATGATTATTTTGCACTAACTGAAATAACAACTTCAAGTTAATTAAGGATTTATCTACTCTCATAAACCAAAGCAGATTCCAAGGTGAAAAGCTACTCAGAATCTTTTCCTATAAATTAGTAAAATATTTAGTGGTCCTAGAGCACTAAATTGTTATGAAAGCTGGAAGTTGCAAGCAGATATTTCAGAAGCACCTATGGAACTTAGAAGCCTAAATCTTAAATTTCTTTCAGATGACATAAAATACTTCGCCATATATGTCCGATTAGCATACACCTGTAGCAATTTTTATAATTTTTTTTTTCTAAGTACCTTCCAAGAGCTGATGATCCCTTAAAGCTTCTGCTGTTAAAACAGTCTTCCCACAACCTGCCATTCCATAAACTGTGACCCAGCCTGGATCACTTCCCAAGCAGCACAGTTTCTGTTTAATAGCATCTACCAGTTTCGGCCGAGTGACAAACACAACCGGTCTCTGTGGTACACCTCCTTCGCAGAGAATTGTCTTAACTAAAGTTAAAAACAAGATACATGAAAATAAAAAGTAATTTATAAATGTGATGTTTCTTCAAACCAAACAACTCCCCATCCCACCCCAAATAAATAGTGGGCTCCCTCCCCCAACTTGTGTCCCATACAAATGCTCTAAAAAGTACTGAACTCACAACACCAAATACTGAAAAAATACTGTTTTTTAGAAATAAGTTACTTAGCAGGTAACTAGCCTCTGACCACTAGCATCCCAATTAATAACCACATTTCATGCAAGCTAGTTACATCAGTCCCTAGAAGTAAAAAGATAATTAACAGCTCCAGTAGAAACTGTGGCAAACAAACACAGGCACTCAACATTACTATACCCAATTGACAAGTCACTTTCGCAACCAGAAGTTACTGCCCCATGGATGCAGCAGAAAAAAAAGCATCCTGTGTAAGACTTTTACTTTGTAGTTTAGCAGCACAGCATTATGGTCCAAGCAAGACTTCCCTTGATTTGAGCTAAGACAGCACGACTTGCAGTAGAGCAGGTAAAGCATAGCAGGAAAGGAAACGTGCGCTTTATCCATGCACTGCTGGCCACAAAGTGGCCATATGCAGTGCCGTATTATACTGATAACCTTTGGGAAATCTTACTCGGGTAACCAAAATTCCACATGTCTATGACATGTCTTAAAACGTAGAGTGACAGTAAATATGGCATTTAGTCACATGCAGTTAGAAGATTCTTTCCATTAGAAACTACTAATTTATTTCATGTCAATCAGAGACAATACTGATGACAAGGTAGGTAAAAGTAAGGAACTTATGTAGGGTAGTTAAAAGATCTGGTGGAGAGAGTTAAGCAACCTATTAACTAGATCAACTATTGGAATGTAGGCTGAGAGATTACAGATTACTTTTCAAGAGAAATGTCAGAATTTTGGAGGCTACATCTTTTTTTATGTTAGATTGAGCTTTCTTGATATATACAAATAAGAATCGGTCTTTCACGTACAACAAAAATATTACAACTTAGAGAAAACCGTAAGAGGTTAAGGTTTTCCATCTTTTAAAATAAACATTACTAAATATGAACATTTTCAAGATGACCTACGAAAAGTCATAACTGTTGTAACTCTCCTACCATATTAAATTATGAAATACAGAAATACTGACTATACTACTAAAATAAGCAAATGCACCAACTACTCCTTTTTTATTGGAACAGGTATTATAGATAGTCACTTAGCAAGGAATAAAAAAAATATAACTTTGTCTTTATTTTCAAGCACAGCCATTGCTGTAGTTATACTGACCATATGATGTCATTCCATCCATTGAACTCTTTCCATTACCAGAGGAGATGGCAGGGATACCATCCTGAAGCAGTGCAGCAAGATCTCTGTACCCTTCATGAAGTAGTGCATTATAAAAGGATCTATATGAATTATTATCTTTTGTAAGAATAATGTTTATTAGCATAGCTGCTCGCTCCTTCTGCGTATTCTAGAAAAAAACATTACAAGAGACGTTATAGAAAACTAAGAGACATTAGAAATTATCTAATCTATCACTCTGTCAATTATTGACTGTGTTTACAGTCTTCAACTGTAAAATAGCCTTCAACTTGACCAAGCCCTTAAGTCAACATTATGAAGTGTGATAAAAACTGCATGCTAAGCATATGCTTAAGAATTTGCTGAATCCAGCAATGAAATAGACAGAAAGTATTATTTTTAAAAAGAACAATAAAACATGTGAACAGACTAGGAAGGTAAAGAACAGTGAGAGACAATTCTACCTGTTGTTTCACTTTCTCCTCCTCCTGTAACGTCAGTACTTCATCAGAAATCATACGATCCATAATATAAGAGGTCTTGATGTCTTTTTCCAATGCTTGGCGATTCCTAAGTAAGTAATTTCTACTCTTCGCATCCATATTTCTTCAGCGTTTAAAAAAAAAAAGTGAAGGCAGAATCAAAACATAACTTACAAGAGTTTTAAAATAGTTTATGAATTTTGGTTTTAAAGTCAGAAAAAATAGCAGAGCAGCTGCATTAATAGAAAGCACAGTGAAGTTTCAGGCAAGCTCATACTACAAACTGCAGAAAGCTAAAAAATTAGGTTGTTTTTTTACTTTCTGTCTTGATAAGGAGACTTTCATACTATTGCTATATGAGTTTAATTACACTGTTTATGACCCACTAGTCCAGCTTCACTGGACAGTACAGTATCATCAAGGAAACACTGGGAGAATCTAATATCATTCCTTTTCAACAGAGTAAAAAAAAGACATATTAATAGTGAAGTTGTAATAGTTTACAAGCTACTGCGAATACGAATAGTATTCTTGAAATATTATTTATATGCTATTATGTTTAATAAAAACATCCAGCTGAGCATTATCACAATTAATCTGACTACAGTATTTCTCCAATTGCACCACTTGGAGGCATATAGAGCAGGTATAAAAAGAATTTCAATCTTTAACAACTAATTAGACTCATAGTAAAACTCTTGTGGTCACTACATAAATGCAAGTTTTCATTAAAAAAAACATATGTACTGCTACTTGGTGGAGAAAAAAAAAATTCTGAGTCCTTTTCCACTATGGAATTTATGCTTATGAACACTTGCACAACTGAAGAATCCCAGTCTGTGCAAGCTTCTCACATACTCGGAACTTGCTAAATGTCTCTATGGAAAGGTCTTTTCCCCTCCCACTGCATCCCTCAAATTTTTTAAGTCCTTGGATCATGTGATTGGGACAACAGGATGAGAAAGAGGACTGGTCTCATGGCTGACAGCACTAGGCAGAACTACAAGAGAAAATAAACTTCCTGTGTACCAAATCACATGAGATAAACTCGCTATTGTCTCCAAGTCCAGGACTCCACACAAGTACACGCGATGGAAGATGGAGCACCCAATGCTGCCAATGACTGACCTGCATGTTCCTTTGTCAGCACCTGATACACAACTATACACTTGCATTCTTCCTCTACGTCATTAAAAAAAAAAAATGCCTGAAGACAAAAGAAGGTGAAAACTATTGTCTACCACGTAAAGGTTTTCCAGTACTGATCAGCCACTCCTGAGAGTCCCTAATGATCCAAACGATCTCTCTGATCACACTCCTGCACAAGGACCGAAGACTCTATCAGCCATCGCAAGCAACCTGCAGCACTGCTCACCTTTGCCTTCCCTCCCTCCTTCGGGAGCTGGGTAGATGCAGAACAGCTGCCTTTGGATAAGCCGGCGATGGAGCGTCTCTTCCGCCGTACTGACAGAGTTTCCTATTTTCACTGGGAAATAAGTGGTTAGGAAAGTCTTTCACCCCACCTTTTTACCCCACCGCACCGCTTAGGAAAGGGGACGTGAAAGCTCTCCAGTCGAAAAACGTCCAGTTTAAAATTAATAATAATAATGATGATGATGATAAATATAATAACAATAACAATAATAGATCCACACGTGAAGCAAATACAAAAAGCGAGCACCAAAACAAAACCACACAAAACAAAGGGTTACCTCACACC